GCGGAGGCCGGGACAGTGCGATGGCTCGGCGCGGTTCTGACTCAGGGTCCCGGGTTCCAGGCCCAGCTACGGAATGACGCGGCTTATAACCCTGGGCTAATTAGAAACTTCCCTGAGCCTCAGTTTACCAATCCGAAAACGTTCCTACATTCCAGCAACATAAATGACCAGCGCATTCCCAGTCCCCGCTGGCACAGGGCTGGGGAAGACCCGCACCTGCTCTTGAAAGTTCTGGGTCTGGTGTCCAAAATAAAGCTGCATGGAGCTTGAGTGGGGTCGTGTGGGTGCACACGGGTGGGCGCCCCCAGGAGGAAGGGGGTACGGAAGACTTCCTGGAGGAGGTGAGAGACAAGGTGGAAAGGCAAAGAGGTGAGAGGAAGCGCTCTTCGCAAAGAGGGCTGCGGGGGCAAGGGTTTCCCGAGGAGGTGAGGGCTGTGTGGTGCCAGAGCTCCAGGGTGGGCCCTCCAGCCTCAGAAACCAGGATTAGCAAGGGCCGGGGATTTAGCTCAGTGGTTACGCCGCAAAGTCCCGAGTTGTATCCCTGGTACAAAGAAACAACAACAGCAACAACAACAAAAACATTTCAAGGAAAGCAGGGTTAGGAGCTGGATTTACGGGGAGGTAACAGGCTAAGCTCAGAAGCTGCCACCAGATATCTGAATCCTGGCAGCTGTGAGGAAGGAGGAGCGAGGTGCAAAGGGTGGAGACAGCTGTGTGGTCAGGTCAACAAGCTCGGAATAGACCAGGTGGGATGCAGGAGAAAGAATGAAGACTGAGGATAAAAGGTGGGCAGTGTGTGCAGCTCAGGGCAGTCAGTGAGGACAGGAGTCCCTTCAAGAACCCGGCTATGTGGGAGAGGAGTCCCACAGGCTCTGGCTGTAAAGTCTGCATTTCAGGAGAGAGGGCTGGGAAGATGGAGGGAGAGCTCAGGTCATACAGGGAGGAGCAAAGGCCAGGACCAGGGGGAGGTCCCCACAAGCCAAGGACCCAGTCAGACCCTGGCTGGATGCTTTCCACGCCTCTCTCCTGACCCAGAATCTCTTTTGAGCCTTTGAAATATTGGGAATGAGGCTGCCCAAGTAGGATTCTGAGGTCTGGATTCCAATCAGCCTCCCCCCACCAACCAGCTTTGGTGTGGCTTCGGGCCTGCTACAGCCTCTCCAAGATGATTGGGGACCTTCTGGCCCTTGTGTTTATAGTGCTTGTAGGACTTCCACATACCCAGGTCTCAGAGTTACTTTTCAGGATCCAGATGGGTGGCCAAGAAACAGACTTCCAGGTAAGGCACCTTTTAAGCAACAGATATCTTCAGAAAAGGCCGAAATGTGAATGGATTTGGGTCTTACGCGCGATCAACATTTCACTTTTGCAGTGGCGACTACTATTAGACAAATCACCACTCACCAAAGCGCTGGTCTGTCTTTTCACACCGGAAGTCTGCTTTTAAAGTTGGACTCACCTGTTAATCACCTGTGTATGGAAGCTCTTTAGGGAACAAAGAGTACCCGTAGGAAATGCCCAAGAGAGGAGGATTGTTCATCTTCAAGCTACCCTCACAGGCCTCAGCCTGACTTCTAGCTGGAAGCTACACACCAAGTCCTTGGCCCCTCTGCTCCTTGTTCCCTTTTCCCCCAACCCATTCATTCAATTCTGAATTTAGACTCCTCCCTGCCTTTGCCAGCCTCCCCCAACACCATCCATCTCCCCGCTCTTACACTTCCTGCCCCCTCCAACAGCCCAGTTCCTGCATTTACCTTTGCATTCTCGGGCCAGGTCCAGTGCAGCAGGCTTTGTAGCAGCATCCGCTGTGGCAAGGTCCTGGGCTGGTTCTGGGCCTCTGCTTGGCATTAGTGGGTAGATAGCAATGTCTGACGTGGCCAGGTTATTAACATTACCTGGCTTCTTCTTCCCATCGGCTGGGTCTGGAGTGACCAGCACACCTGAACCCATAGCTGTACCAAGTCTACTTCTGTCCAAAGCAGGAGAATCCATAGCTGGGCCCAGCTCAGCTGGTTTTGCTGTCATCAAAGCCACGGCTGTGTCCAATCTGGTCGTACCCAACTCGCGTGGATGTGGTATCGCCCAAGCCATTGCTGTGCCCCTTGTGGTCATACCTGGCTTGGCTGCATCTGCTGTAACCATGGATTTGCCCAGCTCATCTCGTTCTGTGGTTGCCAAATTCATGACCTTGGCCAGCTTGGTTGTCTCTGCTGTAGCCAAGTTCATGGCTGTGCCAGATTTGTTTGTGCCTGCAGTAGCCAAATTCCTGGCTTTGCCTGGCTTGGCTGTACCTGCTGTAGATAAATCCATGGCTGAGCCCCACTTGGTATCCACAGCAGAAAACTCTGTGCCTGTGTCCAGTCTGGATGTGTCTGGTGTGGGCAGACTGGCAGCCAAGCTAGGTCCTTTGGTGGCCATTGTGGTTAAACGTCTGGCTACATCTGGCCTTGCTGTGTGCACAGCAGCCAGATTCATAACAGAGGTGGCCCTTTGGAGACATAGCCGGGGTCTAGGAATACCTCTGGCCTGGGACTTGCCTCTTCCTGGAGAAGTTCTGGTGTACCCTTGACCCGAGGGGCCTGGCCCTGGGGGACTCAATGAGCTCGGGCTTAGCCTGGACTGAAAAGGTAAGGCCAGGTATGAGCCCACCACAGGCTTCTCCACTGTGGGTGTCCTGCTGGATTTGCTCAGACCTGGGTTCCCTGGGCCCTCAGAGTGGACCCTGCTGTCTGGCCTTAGGGCCAAGGCGGGTGAACGTGGAGCAGACAGCCTCCCTCCTCCGTGGGTGGCAGCCTCTCTGCCCAGGGTAGGCAGCTCTTCCCAGGGAGACAGCACAGGGACCAGGGGCCGTGTGTGGCTGTTCTGACGGATTGTTAAGGAAATGGAGCTGAGTTTCCTGGGCACAAGGCTGTTGGCAGGCGGGGGACTCCTCGAAGCCCCTGGGGCAATGCCAGGATCCTGTGGGGACATGCTCTGCGCCCTGGCTCTCATACCCAGTCGACTGGAAGTCTGGACGTGGCTTTGAGGAAAGGCATCCAGACGGACAGTCTTCCTGAGGACAGGGATGAGCGGAGTCACCCCTCCGGAGAGCCGTGAGGGGTGGGTAGGGTGCCCCAGAGTGTGTCTGTGAGAGAAGGTGGTTCCGGGGCCTGGTGCTCCATGCGGCTGCATCTCCAGAGGAACAAGGGCAAAGTTGTGTTCCATCTGGGCTGTTCAGCTTTCCCCGGGGGATCACAGGAAAGAAAAAGTCCCGATGACAGAACCGCCAGCTGACACTGCAGGCTGAAGAGACCTTGTTTGCGAGACTATCGTGTTTGTCTTCCTAGTGCTCCTACCTGCTCTACACAGCCTTGCACACTCACCCAGCCAGCTGCCACACGGCAGGTGTGGGAGCAGCGCAGAGTGGAGCCGTGGGGTTTACCTCTCCTCCTACCCCAGCCTGAGTGTGGCCCCCGCTTTGTGGACAAGCCATGGAAGTGACCACCACATCCAGGGACCCTGGAGGAGGCCCGTGGCTGCTAAAATCCTAGCTGCCTGTCCCTCTGAAAGGAGTGGAAAGATTGTGGGATCCCACAGCATGCGCCTCAGTGGCCAGCAGACGAGCACTGGGCTTGAATCAGGGTCTGGATCTGGAGCTCCTGGCCCAAACCAGGAAAGTGTCTTGGACCTGTCTGGTGTGGAGATGGCCTGAGACGGAACAGGAAGAGGCTTTGGAGAAGGAGCTTGGGAAGTGGAGACATAATGAGTGTTCACAGGGCACCCTTGGGAAGAGTGCTATTCCCAGGGTCACCGGGCAGGGAAGTGGGCAGAACTCCACTGCAGTAAACACTGGGGTGAGCAAGAGCCAGCCTCTGTGTCAACACGGAGGCAGGGCCTGGCCGGACAATTCCAGTTGACATCCCAAAGCCAGAAAATCCATTCTGGGGATCCTAGGCTGTGACTAGGGGTGAGCAGACAAGGCTGCAGGTACGCCAGGGTGCAGGGCAGAGAAAAGATGCAGGGCCCTGGAAGAGGACTTCGTCACAAGAACGGTCACTCTGGCCGTGTAACAAAGGGATCCAAGGAGAAGAAAATTAAGAGACTTGGGGACAAGATTGAGAGGCTCTGCAGGATGTGGAGAAGGACAGCGCAGGGCTGGAGGTGGGTTGCGGGGTGTGGAGGAGATGATCAGGTAGATGATCGGCCCCTCCCTGAGGCTGGTGCCTACCCTGGGTTCATAGAGCTTATCCTCCAGAACAAAGTTGCTTCCTTTGCTTTCAACTCAGCAGGCTGGACAGAGGGGTTCATTCGGAATGTAAGGGGCTCAAGGGAGAGGGGAGCAGCTCTCTAAGGTCAGAGCAGGGACAGGGGAGGTAGAACATCGGAAGGGTCCCCGCCAGCCCCTCATCGCCAGCATCCAAGACTGCTCAGCCTCCGTCCTCTCCCCGCCTGGCACACCCTGCAGCCCTGCCTTCCTGCCCACTCGCTCACAGCCCCAGGCACCCGGGCACACTCACTGCACACAATCACACACACCTGCCCTCGGCGCCCACAGCCAGGACAGGACTGCTGAGGTCCGGTTGTCCTCACACCCCCAGACCCCAGCCCTTCAGTGAGCCCAGTGTCCCCTGGTCCTATTCCTACACACACACACACGCACACACAGATCCTCCTACCTTAATCAGAAGACCAGAGCTGATGATTCTTGCTCTGGGAAGCTGGGGCCCTCACCTCTGCACCCAGAGGCTGGCCATGATGACGGCTCAGGGACCTTCTTCTCCTGCTGCCCTCCAGGGCTCCCACTCAGCATCCAGGCCTGGAACCTGTCCCTCCAGCTACATCCCCAGTGGCCCGACTGGGCCATGGGTGGGAGGAGCTGGCTCCTTGGGAGTGGGTGTCAGTGAATGGCTGCTCTGAGCCTCTGGAATCCTAAAGGGCTGCGGGAGTCTCACAACAGCCAGGCTGAGCTGCTCTGAACGCAGGGCTGGGGTGGGGTGCCTGGCTGCCCCTGACCCCCAGGTATACTGTGTCCCACAGAACAGCCCCAGGAAACATGTGCCCAGTAAAAACAATGATACTGCAAAGATGGCGTCACTCTGGCTGTCCCCAGGCCAGCCTTACTCCCGCTTTCCCTCTGCAGCCCCCCATGCCCTTCTGGGCTCAGTGACCCTCAGCTCATCACCCTCATGTCTTGAAGCAAGCTGGGATCCCTAGAGCTTGGGTCTTTCCCCTTAAACAGCCATTTCCAGGGCTCCAGCTCTTGCCAGCTAAACCCTATACTCTACCTTTAAAAGCCTGAGGGTGTGAAGGTGATCCAGCCCTGTGCCTGGTCCTGAGAAGGCACGTAAAGCCAACCAGCCTGTCTCCGACAACGTGGATTCTCAGCCAGCCTCAGCCAGAGGGCTGGGATGGTTGCACGGCCACAGTCCAGGGTTGCCTCTGCCATAGTGATGACAGAAATAACAGAGATGATCTGGACATGGTGGCACACACCTATAATCCCAGCACTGGGGGAGATTGAGATAGGAGGATCACCAGTTTGAGCCCAGCCTGGGCAACATAGCAAGACCCTGTTTCCAAATAAAAAATAAAGAATGGCCTGGGGATGTAAGTCAGTGCAAAGGCCCTGGGTTCGATTTTTTAAAAATGATAATAAAAACCTAGATCTACTGGGCACTTGCTCTGTGCAGGCACTGTGTCAGACAGGAGGTGCTCACCGCCTGCACAGGAAGATGAGGGATAAACAGCTTCTCATAGTAGCTGTCTCAGGGCAGTGACAGAGATACATCCGGGCACTCACCCTGAGCTAGGAACTAGGCTAAGCAGTCTCCCGGCATCTCTGTCGGTCTTTGCCTTGCCCTCTGCTTTCTGCCGACAATCACATGGCAGCCCCTACACGCCATGGACTCTGATCTACCCCTCGGGTGTCACTCTCCTTGGAGTGGATAGAACTTTCTGTGATAATGGAAATGTTCTATACCAGTGCTGCCCAGCACAGCAGGCCACAGGCCACAGATGGCTACCGAGCACTCAGAATGCAGCTCTGGTGACCAAGGGACAGAGTTCTTTATCTCATTTCATTGCATTTTAATTTATGGCCATCATAACAGACAGTGTCGTTCTGAAGGGCCTGGAGTGTACTCACCGGGAATCAGCCACGGTGAGTTTCTGTAGAGTAAATGAATGCAATGGCTGAGTGACAAATATATGGGCCTTATCCACGCTCTCCCCTGCAAGCGTTAGGTTTTCAAATGTGGCTGGATTCTGGTTACCAGGGCAACCTGCTGGAAGTGGGGTTCTTCCCTCTCCCTACCTTTCTTTGAGGCTGGGAGGAAGAACAGAGGTGGCGGGAGGAGGAGGCAGATTAAGGGTGGGGGCTTGGCTTCACCTTCCCCAGATAACAGTACCTCAAAGTCTGGGGCCCTGGGTTCTTGTCCCCTTTGGCGCATGACTTCCTGTGTGACTTCCGCCAATCACTTGCCCTCCCTGAGCCTCAGTTGCCTGGGGGGAGGGGCTGCGGAGAATGGAACCCATAGTCTTTACATTGAGCTATATGCCCGGCCCTTTTTTCTTTTTTCTTTTGAAGCAATGTCTTGTTGCTAAGTTCTCCATGCTTGGCTCGACCTCGTGATCCTCCTACCTCAGGCTGCCAGAGCACTGGGATTACAGGTGTGTGCCACCACGTATGGCCCTCAGGTGCCTTTTCAAATAGGGACCCTCATGTGGTTTCTTTTAGCCTGAGGACCTGGGACGCTTCATCCTCGCTGCCTTGAAGACAAGGCCTGAGTACCATTCCTTCATTTCTGTCTTCTTCCTGTGGTTTTTTTACCCCACACTGCTTCTCCGTTTTGAGTGTCCAGCCGCCCTCTGGTGGCCAAAAGTGGGAATGCTGACCTTCCACCTATACACAACCTTCCCAGCAAAGACTGACACAAACCTGGAAGGGCCTCTGAAGAGGAGGAGGACCTCCAAGGTCGTGATGTTAGTGTCCCGCGCAAGGGGGTCAGGCCAAGGGGGTCAAGGGGGTCTCTCCACTCTGGGTTTGTTTTAGAGCTGCGTGCTTTTGAGCAAGGTGCTTGTTCTCTGAGCTACAGTTTAAGGGAGGATTGGATCAGGCGGGATATGTCCATCTATGCTGAAGGAACAAGACGCTCCAAAGTCTTGGGGCTGTCAACCCCAAGGCCAGTCGCTCATTTGCAACTGCTGTCCACCCTTCTGTGGTCAGCCGGCTCTGCCCCATGTCACCTTCAGGCCATGCCCCGGGCTGCTGGAGGGGTTACCAAGAGTGTGCAGTGAACTAGATCCCTGTGAGCCCTGAAACTGTTTCCTCAGGCTGGGGTGTGACTGGGGGTAGAGCATGGGCTTAGCATGCATAAGACCTGGGCTTAACAAAAAATAAAAAATGGGGCTGAGGATTTAGCTCAGTGGTTCTGCTGCCTGCCTCAAAAGTGCAAGGTCCCAAGTTCGATCCCTGGCACCAATAAATAAATAAACAAACAAACAGACTGTTGCCTTGGAGTTCTGATTCCCTTGTTTACTTGCCATCCATGATTTCCTTTGACTTCCACATCAGTTCCAGTTGTTCAAGATGGATTTACCATGGTTCATAGAGTGTGGCCCCAGATTCAGTCTCTCCCACCCAGGGTCCTCTGGAAGGGTTATTGACTGAGCTTGTGAGGATCTTTGGTTTTTATTTTGTTTTTGGTGTTCTTGAGACAGGATCTCACTGTGTAGTTCACTATGTAGCCCAGGCTGACTTTGAACTTGTGAAGATCCTCCTGCCTCACGCTCCCAAGTGCTGGCATCCACCACCAGGCCCAGTTTGTTGAGGGTCTTTTGAGGGAGTCTGCAGCCTCTGCCCTTCTCCCAAAGCTGGTTTCTCTCCTCCCAGAGCCTCTCCCACTCAGCCAGAGTGCAGAGCCACTAGGGGGGAACAATGAGAAGCTTGTGCCGCCCTCTGACCAGAGTCCAGACATTGCAGCCAGTCCCACGCTGGACCCTGCACATTCCTACCTTCTGTCCTCCTGCTCTGGGCAGCCCTGACGTGCCTGCCCTTCCCTTTCTGAAGGCTCCTGGGCGATGAGAAAGAAAAGCTCCAGGACCCTGCAAAACTTCCCAAAGCCTTTGAAAACACTGGCACTCTGTGCTTTAACCACACTACTCCCAGCTCTCGGTAATGAGCTGGCGATAGCCTCTGTGACTTTGCACTAGCAGATGTCTCTTCCCCTTACAGGAAAGACTCATATTCAACCTTCAAAACCCAGCTTGGGATATAGGTCAGAGGTAAAGTGCTTGCCTAGCAGGTAGGAGTGTCTGAGATCAGTTCCCAAAGTCTCCACATTTGGGAAGCCTTTTTTGACAACCTGCTTCCTTAAGAGTTAGGCGTACTTTTTGTTTGTTTGGTTGGTTTTTTGAGAAAAGGTCACACTAAGTCACTAAGTTGCCCAGGCTGGGCTCCAACAGGCAATCCTCCTGCTTCAGCCTTCCCGAGTGCTGAGATTACAGGCAGACACCACAGGACCCAGCTGGGAGTCAGGCATTCTTCAGTTGTTTTCGATTTCTCGTACACGGTTCCCTGGAGTGCACACACCTGTTTCCAGCTTGTGAGCTCTTTTAATTCAGGGACTACATCTTTATCTTTGTATTCTTGGTGCCAGGCTTAGTGTGGAGGTACAGCGGATACCTGACTTGCCTCTGTAGGGTTTAAGAGGACAGCTACACGACGCTCAGCATTTAGTCAGCATCTTCGTCCCCACTGTCCCCTTTGACATTTGCCACCACCAGTGAGGCTGGCGCAGCAGGAGTGAAATGAAAATAAACCTGATACTCTGGGCATCTTAGCACATGTCTGTAATTCCAGCGCTTGAGAGGTGGAGGCAGGGGGATTTTGGTGAGTTCAAGGCCAGCCTGGGCTACACAGTGAGACCCTACTGCAAAGAAAAGAAACCTGATGTGAGCTCAGCACAATGCCAGGCACTGGCAGGGGACAGGTACCTGGGCCTGAGTCATCTGTGATTTCAGAACCTGGTACACAGAAGCCCAAGAACAAGCAATTTAACCGAGCAGATTCATTGGACTCACTCTTGTCTGGCTTTGATCTCAAATTGATCCGAATCTAGCTTTCCCACACAACCTGCCCTGTAAACAAGTCCTGCCTCCGTGAGCAGATACAGTCCGCTGTGATGCCCTCAATATCACATCTAAGACTTTTTTGTTGCTTTTTTTGAGATAGGGTCTCACTATGTAGTTCAAACTGGCCTTGAACAGCACAGATTGGCCTCAAACTCACAGTAATCCCCCCTCCCTCAGCCTCCTGAGTGCTGGGATTACAGGTGTGTGTGACCACAACCGGCCTTTTTTTCATATTTAGAAGTAGAAAATTTGTCTTTCAGGAAGAGTTCATCCCTCCCGTCCATCACATAACAAGAATAAAATGACCTCTTTGTGTTTCCTCTTGCCCTCTGGCTGTCAGGAAGCTCAGAGACAGATAACGGCATTGTGGAAGGGGTCAGAGGGTACAAGTGCCTGTCCATTTGTGGCGGGGTTGCACCACCACCATGGAGCTGAAAAGTCGTTCAGTTGAACCACGGTAACTTGGGGACTTCTGTGTTTCTAGCGCACAAGGGAGTGACTCGGCCAGTGGAGTCACTATGGGAAGTCACTTGGGCTCTATGGGAAGAGAGGGTGTGAATACCCTTCTCCTGGGGAAAAGACTGGAACACAGAAGTTAGGGAAACGCGATGCCTTGGACACGGGCAGGTCTCCTGTGGGGAGGGCTCCAAGGCCATCTCAAGGGTCACGGTCAACACCCCCTGCCACAGTGCAAACCTCCTAGCCATGAACACATTCACACTTCACTTTCAGTGTGGCTAGAATGTCTTTTTCAAGAGGAGTCAGAAAAGAGGGTTTCAATGTGAAATCTCCTGACCTTCAAATGTTGGCCACCAATTTCCATTTTTGCAAATCACAGTGTGGGACAAACCAAACTCAGCCTCCCTCCCAAGGGTCTGTTGGCTATGGCTGGGCTGGGGAGTGGGGGTTCATCATCGGGAAACTGCCCCGTCTCGCCCCCAACGAGACATCCAGAGACAGCTGCCTCTGAAGGAGGTGAGCAACCCCAGGGTGTGCTGACTACCCAGGCAGGCCCATAGGGGCTCCCTGCCCCAGCCTGGTCTGACTGGTTTAAAATGACCTAGGAGCCGGATGTGGTGGCTCTCGCCTGTAATCCCAGCACTGGAGAAGCTGAGGTAGGAGGATCGCTGTGAGTTCAAGACCAGCCTGGGCTACAAAGTGAGTTCCAAGTCAGTCTCAACTACATAGTGAGACCCTGTTTCAAAAAATAAAAAACAAAACAAAATAAAATGAGCTAGGAAGAGCCAACAAGAACCAAAATCTGTCATGGGAGGGTGCAAGATCCCAGTGAGAAATGTAACTCTATTGTTTGCTTTAAATGAACCAATAAACTTAATGGGGGAAA